TCGCCAGACAGACAGAGAGAGACATAGAGACAGAAAGCGAGAAATCACCCCCCAGGGGGGATGGTCACGCCGCAATCCCTTCTCCTCCATTCTCCTCTCGGGATCTTGGGCACGCATGCACACGTGCCCGGTGTGAGTTTTAAGCCACCGGGTCCGGGACACGAACCACGGTCGACCACGTGGGAGTCCAGTGACATAGCCATTATGCTAACTGCTGGTTCCCAGTCTCCCTTTTTATGTTGGAATACTTGTAGTTTAGCTCTGGGTCTGGCACGGGGAGGTGCCTAATATGTGGTTATTAAATAAATGAATGAACTTAATTTTTTCAGGCTGACAGTTATGTAATAAAGAACTAATAGCATTACCTGGTGATACTGCCTTCGAAGACTGAGATGGTTTTGTAAAGGAACAAGTGACCTCAGCAATGCTTGGTGTTTAAGTTACGGCTCTAGTTAATTTATTATTGCAGGTATTAGTAACTATGATAAAAGCGCCCTGGCCCACGCGCATGCCTTTGGGATGTCAGCAACTCATGTTCTGGAATAAGTGATTATGGGGGAGTGAGGGGGGACATGGGGGGGTGAGTGCCCACACCAAAAAAAACCCCAAACAAAACAAAAACCCCCCAAAAAACAAAGGACAGGTGATATCTCGAGTTTCTGGATTCAGACTGTGTTTGATTCTCAATTTTGCTACTTTCTAGCTGTCTGGCTAAGGGGTAGGTTACTTCTCTGTGCTGTATTTTCCTCGAATGTAAATTAAGGGTGAGAATAGCGGGGATGGGTGGACAGTACTTGGGGTAGACAGAATTGATGCCTGCTGTGGAGGACATAGAAACCCAATGGATGTGAAATCTAAGTCATTTACTAGTTACTTTCCCCTCCACCGCCCTCCAGCTTCACCTGCTTTAAAGCGATAAGGTCAGAGTGGGGTATTGTATGGGCCAGTTAGGAGTTAGGCTAAAGAGCATCCCACTCGTTCCCATGGCTCTGAGTGAAGGGGGGCAGCCCAGGGGCTGCTGGGCCAAAGAATGAAATCCCTAACTGGGAGAAAGGAGTGGGTATGGATTTCTAGCTCTAGAAGCGGGGCCAGGATAAGGCCGGCAAGCCCTTACCCAGATTACCACACTCACTACTCAGTAAACTGTTACATGAGCAGAGACAGCTGGGCTAGGTGAAACGCAGGTGCCAGCCGCTAGAGACCTCTGTCACCTATTCCTCTCTCCTGTGCCCACACCAAAAATGGATGGGGGATATCTCGGAAAATGGGGCACCACCACCCACTGCCAGCTTGTGAGCAGGGGGGTCAGGAGCTGCTAAATCCTTGCAATCAAACACGTCTAGGTCACTGGACTAATTAAGTCATGAAAGATGTAGTTTGGGCAGTAATTGGGGAGGGAGGGGAGACAAAAATTTGAGGACAGGATCCCTCAAATTGGGATGCCTTCTATGTACTGCTATTTGCATAAGAATGTTTACGGTAATGGTTTAGAGACTGGGTTTGATTCTCGGCTTTGTGACTTCTGGCTGTCTGGCAAAAGGTCAGGGTCTGTATTTCCCCCTACTGTAAATTCAGGGTGAGAACAGTACACACCATGGTGGTCGGGGTGGTTAAGCACAGCGCTCAGGGAGTGCTCTTGGATGAACGCCTGGCTTACGGCAAATGACCAATGAATGCTAACGTCTATTGCATTTTTACGTTTATCTCCTTTCATGCAAGAAAAACCGAAGACAAGTACCTTCCACAGGGTCTCATGCCACCTTCTGCCATCCAGCCTTCCTGAAAGTCCGTGGAGTTAATTTTGTCTCTCAGCCTTGCCAGCCAGGAGTACAAGCTCCTGTCTGGTGCATACAAGCTGACCCGGGGACAGAACCCCAATCTTCCACACAGCTTCCAGCATTGCAGAGTTGCATTACTGCCTTGCCACGGTGTTGGGCCTCTGTTGCTATCCTCTGTTATGCGTAAGTATATGCATAGACCTGAAGTACGGTAGGTCAGCTAGCCCATGAAGTTTCTAGATGCAATGCAGGATGCCATTATAAAGCTACTCATAGCTTCTCTTTGTGTGGGAAATCAAAACACCCCCAAAGACACATAATGGTCAGTATAGCTCTGATTTTAACACAGAATCCTAGAAAAAGGCATTTTCTTAGCCTGAGGTCTACCCGTTCCTGCTTTTGTGGAAGCTGGGTTGGCGCAGCGCCATAGACGCCATATTATTGGCCTGGGCTGTTTGGATTAGCTGCTTGTTGTTATCACATAAACCACATCGCTCCCTTTGCTTCCCTTCATTTCATACCTAAGTAGATACAGCCTTTTCCTTTTAGCTGCCAGAGAACATTTCCAGACAGAATGTCACGTCCTCTTCCAAAGTAACAATACAATAAAATTCAAGGCAACAGTCATTCTGAATGAAAATGACACAAATAGAGAATCTTGGAACTGCAGAAACAAAAAATAAAGCCTTCACTCTTCAGTTCCAGCCATCTGATCCCATTGATTTCTGTGCCCATGTTCCTGGCATCTGTTAAAATATTACCAGCATCAGTGGAGCTTGACCAGTTAAGATGTTAATTTCTGCACTACCTTCTAAAACACAACATCGCGTGTTTACAAACGCAGGGGTTTAGATGAATCACGTGTGAACACTTGCCTGCTTTGGTGGCTGGGCTTCTCGACGATGAGTACGTAAGGGCTGATGGATAGCTTATACCTTTCTTGGGTTTACTTTCTGCAAAAAAAAAAAAAAAAAAAAAAAGAAATTAAATTTGGAATATGCATTGCTAGAGGTTTTAGATGGTTCTGTACTGAGAAGTTGATTCTCTCCTTCCAAGTTCTCTTGGGTTCAATAAAATCCGTCTGATTCCTGCACTGAATTGTTGATTACAAAGAGGAAGTCAAGCGACATTTTGTTCTCCTGCATTTTATTAATATTTGAACGGAAACAATAAAATCTCCATGACTCAGTTGTTTAACATCAGAAACCCTTATTTTATCCATGCAGGTGAAATGTGTAAGCTGAGGTTTTCATACATGTGGTTTTGAATGTTTAATTAGACGAATGCAAAGACAATCCCACATGCTCTTATTTTAAGTTATCAGAGCATGTGTGCTCTCACTAGAGAGAGGAGGGAGAAAGCATCCTCTGATGTGCATGGTCATGCCTCAGTCCCTTCTCCACTTCCCCATCCTGCTGGGATTTTGGAAAAACGGGGGTTGGGGGAGGGAGGGGGAGGTGTGTGTTTAAATCTGCCAGGGCTGGGATTTGAACTATAGTCAGCCATGTGGGATCCAGCTTCTTTAACCTCTCGGGCTGCGTCCTGCCTGGCTCTCCTTTTAGAGGATGAAATGGTCTGGTCATAAGCTGGCTGTGTGTAACAGCTCCCCTCTCACTGTCACAGACCCTGTGGGATCCATTTGAATTCCATGGCAGTAAGGAAACTTAAAGGTAGGCCAATGTTAATCAGCCAAGAAACTATCCATTTGTTGCCCACTTTAGATGGGAGGAATACTTTAGATGCCAGAGGAGGAGGGATGGTAATGTCTATCAGGGAATCAATGGAGGTATTAAAATAAGCTACTGGGGCTGGGTTAGCAGGCAGCAAGCCTGGTATTACTGAACATTGCCTGAGAAGACTGCTGCTTGCAAAGTCTTCCAACCATGAAGTGAGGCCCGCAGCTGTACAGATCTCCTGGCTGTGTTCCACAACTTAACTCAAAGTGCCACTGGAGTATAGTGGTTTGCCTGACTTCATATCTGTTGAATTCCCAGTGCCTAAAGCAGTATCTGGCATGTAGTAGGTGATCGATAGATATTATTCAGCAAAGGAGTATCTTAATGCCTTAGATTTCTGAAAATTCACATACCCTGGCAGAGGATGGGGGGTGCCACCTGTTAGCAATAGTTCTAGGTAATAATGAAAACATTTTCCCTTTCAACTGGGGAAGTGGGGCTTGTAGAGTGGGGCTTGTGGAGATGGTAAGGAGTATGGCATGATGAGCCCCGGGGTGGGG